TTCTTTCAATTAATTGGTTTATAATATTATTTTAAATCATTTCCAAAGTTTTAAGTTGCTTTTTAGGGGCCCCTTCTCTCTCTTTCTTCGCCCCTGCGGGGCCCCGTGTCCACTGCTGCTGCTGCTGCTGCTGCTGCAGAGCTGCAGCTCAAAGAAGCAAATAAATGCAAAAGCGGCGAAGAAGCTGCTGAAGAGCTCTACATCTGAGCGCTGCGTGGCTTAGGGTTTGGGGTCTTAGTGTTTAGGGTTTAGGGTTTAGGGTTTGGGGTAAAGCAGTTCAACTAGTTACCGCTAGGTTGACTGCAGCAGCTAGCTGCAGCTAGTCGCAGCTAGCTGCAGCTAGCCAAAGGCGCGCAAAGCGCTAGCTACCCACAGCCAGCTGCAGCTAGCCACAGCTGCCCTAAGCTAGCTCCCGCTAGCTCTAGCTGCACAGCTAGCTGCACAGCTAGCTGCAGCTAGCTGCAGCTAGTTGCAGCTAGCCACAGCTAGCTATAGCCTCCAACCCAGCTAGCTACAGCTAGCCATGGCTAGCTACGGCTAGCCACGGCTAGCTGCAGCTAGCCGCAGCTAGCGTAGCCAACGCAGCTTCTTCTTTTTCTCTCTCTTAAAATTCTTGTTTTATTTCAAATTACTTTCAGCTGCTGCTGCTGCTGCTGCTGCTGCTGCCCTTTAAGCGCAGCAAAAGGCGCCGCGGGCGGTCCACTGCGGCCTTGAGGAGTGCACAGAGGGTGGCAGCTAGCTAGCTAGCTAGCCAAACAGCTGGCTAGCCAGCTAGCTAGCTAGCTAGCTAGCTGGTTAGCTAGCTAGCTAGGGGCCCCAAAGTCTACCCAGCAATTACATGGCGCTGCTGTCCAGTCTAATTGGGCAAGCAGCAGCAGCAGCAAATGAACCAGGTGTACGTACACCCCGTTGTGCAGACACCCCACACAGCAGCCCGCGGGGAGCCCCGAACAAACAGCAGCAGCAGCAGCAGCAGCAGCAGATATACCTGCTGCACCTAATACGACTGCTGCTCCAGCAGCAGCAGCAGCAGCAGTCTGGCGGACTGCAGCTGCTGCTGCTGCTGCTGCTGCTGCGGGGCAGCGGCGCTGCATTTGTATTATCTCACATCGTTTCGCAGTGAAGCAAATTGCATGCATATGTCATTTGCAAATGGAGGAAATAAAGAACAGAAAAAGCAGTTGCTGCTGCTGCTGCTGCTACTGCTGCTGCTGCTGCTGCTGCTGGAGCTGGTGCGGCTTATGCTGTTGCTGCCGTTCAGCAAAAGCCTCCAGGAACCTTCATTGGTAAGTTATCTTTTGATAGATCGCTATAGTTGTTGCTGCAGCAGCACCTATAGCTGCAGCAGCGCCTGTCTTGCTGCTGCTGCTGCTGCTGCGGCTGTGGCTGCTGCTAATATTAAGCTTCCAGTGACCCCCTCTCCACTGAAGTCCTGATTGTTGCATTGGTCCCACATGGTGTCAGCATTGCTGTTGGGGCTGCCCCATAGCTGCTGCTGCTGCTGCTGCTGCTGTAGCTGCCACGGGTTGCTGCTTCGGCAGCAGCTGCTGCAGTGGCGCTGCTGTTACTGCTGCTGCTCTATGTTTCCCTGCTGGCCCTGCTGGTCGTAGTAGCCTGCATAGCCGTCTCCCCACTGCTGCTGCTGCTGTTGCTGCCACTGCTGCTGCTGGTCCCACTGCTGCTGCTGCTGCTGGTCCCACTGCTGCTGCTGCTGCGGGTCCCACTGCTGCTGCTGCTGCGGGTCCCACTGCTGCTGCTGCCACTGCTGCTGCGGGTCCCACTGCTGCTGCTGCTGCTCCTGGTCCCACTGCTGCTGCTGCCACTGCTGCTGCTGGTAGTCATTTTGCTGCTGCACCCAGTTGCCCTGCTCATCAAAGTAGCCCGCTGTGCTCACCCAGTTTCCCTGTTCGTCCCAGTAGCCTGCTGCTGCTGCTGCTGCTGGTTGTGCTGCTGCTGCAGTGTCCACCCAGTTGCCGTTTTCGTCCCAGTACCCTGTTGCTGCTGCGTCTCCTGCTGCTGCTGCTGCTGCATCTCCCCCTTGCTGCTGCCCGCCGTCTACAGCCCCCCCCTCTGTGGGCACCCAGTTGCCTTGGGCATCCCAGTACCCTGCTGCTGCTTCTGCTGTTGCTGCTGCTGCAGCAGGGGGCCCCTGGCCCTCAGCAGCAGCACCTGCTGCTTCCTGGGGGCCCCCACCTACTGAACCCTTTCCAGGTTTGCTGCTGCTTTGGCGAGAAGGAGCTGCTCGCAGCGAGGCCTGGGAACTCAACCTGCGCACAAACACAAAAGCCCCAAAACCCTAAACCCTAAACCCTAAACCCTAAACCCTAAACCCTAGACCCTAAAAGACGCATAAAAAGAAACCGATATGCTTCCAAGGCCAGTGCCTGCCTCCGTCTCTGGCCTCCATTACCCCAAGGTGGCCCCGGTCCCCCAGCGGTAAACTCCAAACCCTAAACCCTAAACCCTAAACCCTAAACCCTCACTGCTTCGGAACTTTGCTGCTGGCTCTCTTGACTTCAGGGCCGCGCAGCTCCACGCGGGCCTCCTGCGGTATATCGCAGCAGGGGAGGCCGCAGCACTGGGAGAACAAGACGAAGGCGTTGCTGCAGCCGCTGCGCCTGTGCTGCTGCTGCTGCTGCGCTGCTGCTGCTGCTGCTGCTGGCGCTGCAGAAGCCCGCTCTGGCACCCGCCAAGGCACCTGCTGCTGCCGCATGTAAGTAGTGTGCTGCAGCAACTTCCCATGGACTTGTGGAGTCTCCAGTCTCTTCTCCAGCAGCGCGGGAGAAAAGCTGCGGGTGTGCAGCAGCAAATGGCCCGGCAGCGGCCCGAAGCCTCCCTGGGGGCCCCCGGGGGCCCCCCCGGGGGCCCCCGGGGCCCCGGGGGCCCCCTTCACAGACTGGTGAGACGCCAGCTTCGACATGCCTGCGAACAGCAGCAGCAGCAGCAGCAGCAGCAGCAGTGTGGTAGCAGATACAGCGGCATTTATAGCGCGGGGTCTAAGCGCCGCAGCAAAGCAGCAGCAGCGACAGAAGCGGGAGGGTAAGTGCTGCTGCTGCTTTCCTGCTGCTGCAGCAGCAGCAGCGCCGTCAACAACAGCATCAGGAGCAACAACAGCAGCGGCAACGGCAACAGCAGCAACAGCAGCAGCAGCAGCAGCAGCAGCAGTAGCAGCACTGACTGCTCGAAGGCAGCTTCTTTGAGAGAGACGCCAAATGCTGAAGCCCCGTGGAAGTTCTTGAAGGCTGCGGGGAGATTTGGGAGTTGCCGTAGTCCCCTTTGTTTTGCTGCAGTGCAGCAAACCGTTTGGCCAGGGAAGCAGCAGCAGGAGCAGGAGCAGCAGCAGCAGCACCTTTTGCTTCTGCTGCCCCTTCCTCCGAACTCGAAAAAGACTGCAGCGGAGAAAGTCCTTTAAACGACACAACTGATGCTGCTTTTCCTACTTCGCGCAACGACTGCAGCTTCTCCGGTCCTGCTGCTGCTGCTGCTGCAGTTTGTGGCTTTGCTGCTGCTGCTTCTGCGGGCGCTGCTGCTGCTCCTCCTGCTGCAGCTGCTGGAATGGCTTCCGTAATCACTTGTGCTGTTGCTGGTGCCTTCAAAGCAGCAATTGCTGCTGGTGCCACTGTTGCTGTTGTTGCTGCTGCTGCTCTCTCTTTGAGCTCTTTGCTGCTGGGCTGCTGCGCACTCTCTTTCGGGGTCTGCCGCGCGCTGCCTTCTGCTGCTGCTGCTGCTGCTGCTGGCGCTGCTGCTGCTGCACCTTGCTTCCCTTTGCTGCTCAGGTGCTTCAGAGGCGCAACAGCCGCTGCTTCTTCTTCCTGCAGCAGCAGCCCCAGGCAAAGAACTTGTCCATTTATTCACATTATTCACATTTGTTTGTATTTACTTACAATTATTTGGATTTATTTACATTTATTGTATTATTTTTCATTTATTATCATTTGTTTCACTTATTTTCATTTATTTAATGTATATTCGCGTTAATCTTCGCTTATTTGTGGCTGCGTCTGTACACCTGCGCCTACAAATATGCGCAAGCCTCTCTGAATAGATTTTTTGTCAAATATAAAATTGTGTTTATAACAAAACTAAAAGATTAATTAAATATATTTGCATAAATATATATCTTTTGGGAGATCTTTATCTTCATTTTCCACCTGCATTTGTGCAGAGTTGCTCTGCGGCGGCTGAGGTGTATGTACACCTGAACTGCTGCAGACTTACTGCTGCTTGGCCAAGTTTGCCAACGCGAGACTTGGGGCCCTTAAGAGAAGCTGCTTCTTTTTCTTTTTCTTTTTCTTTTTCCTTTTCTTTCTCTTTTGTTTTATCTGCTGCTGCTGCTGCAGCTGGCAGCTGCTTGCTGTTCTGCTGCGACAGCAGCTGCGCCGTGCCTTTCCGGCTGAGAGTCTGCGGCAAACCAAGCAGCAGAAGCAGCAGCAATCGAATTAGCAGCAGCAGCAGCAGCCGCAGCAGCAGTTGAGTCAGCAACAGCAGCAGCAGCCGCAGCAGCGATCGAGTCAGCAGCAGCAGCATCAGCAGCAGCAGATGAGCTATTTGACATGGGGCTTCTGCCCAGTTTCTGTGAGGTGCCCACACGTTAATTTGCTTGTGTCTAATTCTCAACAGCAGCAGCAGCAACAGCAGCAGCAGCAGCAGCAGCAACAACAACAGAGGCAGTAGTGATTCTATTTCCATTTATACTGTCTGCTCAAGTATCTCTGCATCAGTGCCTCTGTTTGTGCGTCTCTCTTTTGCTGCTGCTGTTGCTACTGCTCTCTCCTCATTGCACTGTTGCTGCGGCTTCTGCTGCTGCCGCTGCTGCTGCTGCTGCTGCTGCTTTAGCTTATTGCTTCTGCCTGAGGCCTCAGCGCAGCTCACTGGAGTGCCTTTGCTGCTGTCTTTTGCTGCTGCTGCTGCCTTGGGTCCCTTAGCAGCTTTTTCTTTCTTGGTTTTCTTTTCAAGGCCTTTATTGTCGGAGCTGTCGCCCGAGCTCTTGTCTGTTGCTG